TGTTGCTGTGGGTTGATGAAACATCAAGCAGTTAATATAAATAGCTAACGGTTCTCAGGCATCAGATGTAGCTATAGATATAAATTCAGATATAATATTTTGTAAGTTAGCAACAGGATGTTCCACATGATAGACCCTCCATAAATATTTAATGACTGAATGAATTTCAAAAAGGTCAGCTGCAACACCAAACTTACTGGATTTTACAGGTAATCAAGAAAAGGGTATAAGTCATGAATAAGGGCACAAGTCCTGTTGACTTATTGTTATTCCAGCTAACGTTTTTAAATATATCCATTAGACCCTTGCACTTCTCACAGGCTGGGTGAGTCATCACCTTCTGTAACAATAGAAATGTGGTAACTAATCTGTGCTTATGCACAAAACAAAAGCCATCTGTACAAAGAAGGAAAAAATTAGTGGAAACACTGCCCCCCACCCCTTATGGAATTAGCTCCTTTTGTTTCATCCCTACTTTCTGGACCACTTTTTCTAGTTTTCCCACTTCTTAAAAAAAAAAGTCAAGTCTGGCTGATATTATGTCTCCAGCTTCCACATGCAGAATAGGTTCAATCGGTATCTTATAAAAGAAGAGTCAAGATTAATTAGAGTTTTCAATATTCATATTAGGACTCGGTTATTTCTGAAGAAGGATGGCTCTTTTGTCCTTTCTTGCTTTAATATATCACAGTGGGGACAGGCCACATTGTCTGTCCCCCACGGGAAGACGCTGCTGACAAGTCAGGGAGACCTGGTGAGGCAGGTCAGCCAAGTACCGAGGCAGACGCCTGATGAATTTTATGAATTTTAAAACGCGTGGGCCGTAATTACGAGTATAATAAGACCCAGATGAAACAAGACATAGTCAAGTCCCCAGTGCTCAGGTTAGACTGAGCCCCTGGGAAGGAGCAGTTAAGATGACAAAAGAAACCACAGAGCAAATCCCAAAAGTATCTGGATAAAAATTTGCAATCATGTAGAGAGCGCTATTAGAAGCATTTATTATTATTCGATTGAAGAATCACCACAACCACCACGCTATTTCCATTCTGGAGGTGAAGAAAAGGTAAAGTTACTGCCACCTGTTTGTCTTCAGTGTGGCCCATGCGGGGACCCTGGTAACCTCGTGGTGTGGAAGTCTGGGAGAGCAGAACTCAGATTCTCCCACCGCAGCACGCAGGGCACGGTCAGCCGACTGCGGGTGAACTGAGACTATCTACACGTTGGGTGGGACAGGGATCCCCACAGAGACTCAACAGCACCTGCAAGGTGAACTGAATTTGGCAGAAATGGAAGAAATGCCCGTCGAGCTTCTCTTCAAGCCACTGCCCACACGGCTCCTGAAGTGATCGCTCCAAACATAAATATGTTCAAGCTGTTAAAAACCCGTCGATGGTTGCCCACTGCGTACAGCATGGTTTCCAACCCCTTCTGTGTCCTGAAAATCTCCCAGAGCCTGGGTATACACTGTGCCCTTCCTTACAACTTCTGCTCCAGCCTTTCTGAGCTCCTCACCATTCCCTCTGCTGGACCCGTGTCATCTGGCTTCATCTCCCCAACCTTTAAGCTTCAGCCCTAGCATCACCTCCTCTCAGAAGGCAGAGGATTCCCACGACGTGCAGTAGCGTGCTGTGCCGCCTCTGTGCTCCCACAGCACGTTAGACACTCTCACACTCCTCTGCATCAGCTCCTGGTTTCCTGTCCTTTTCCTTACTAAAGCCCTGGAAGGTGGAGGTCACGTGTTATTGTGTTTGTAACTTAGCCCGGTCCTGCCTGNAAAGCCCTGGAAGGTGGAGGTCACGTGTTATTGTGTTTGTAACTTAGCCCGGTCCTGCCTGGCTCACTATGTGGTGAGTGAACATCCAGTGACTAAGGCAGCTACACCTGGCTGCCTGCAGTGCCGACAGGGAGCACCCAAGGGTGCCAGCTGTTCAGCAGCTATGGTCCCACACCAACAATGAGGTGCCTCACTATGTGGTGAGTGAACATCCAGTGACTAAGGCAGCTACACCTGGCTGCCTGCAGTGCCAACAGGGAGCACCCAAGGGTGCCAGCTGTTCAGCAGCTATGGTCCCACACCAACAATGAGGTGTGGCCTGTCCCCATCAGAAGGAGCAAGTTTCCATGGGGCCAGGAGCATCCAGCCAGAGCCATTCATATCTATAAAGAGAACTTCAACAGGGTGAGAAGGGTCCAAGCTGGAGCTTTTTAGGTCATAATAACAAATAATGACTTTGGACTACAGATTAAAGAGAATACAGATAAAAGAAAGACACAGAGGATTTTTAAAAATTTATTATTGGAAATAAGAAAGGGCCATGACTCAAAACATGACAGAATGGTCTCTCCCTCTTATCATATTTCAAAACTAATCTACTCCCAGACAATATGAAGAGGTTTCTTTCTCGTTACAAGGGGAAGGGGGTGTGGATTTTAGGTCAGCAGATTTATTGTTTCCAGATGTTTGCAGCTCTGGGATTTGCTAAAGGATTTCATAGAGTAGTGACGAGGCAGTGTCGGGGGAGGGGTGAGCAGGAGGGAGAGAGGATCAGAAAGCCACATAAGCAGGAAAAAGAACTTACAGTCACAGGGGAGGACAGCATCTTTGTAAATTACCCTGCGCAATAGGCTAAAGGCCTTTCACTATTGCCACATAACCTTAGAAGAAATTTTGCTCGTGGAGTAGAGACTCTTGTTTTTAAACTAAATGAAGGTCATCTTTTTTTTTTTTATCATAAACATGACAAGATCTGTACAGTGGGTTACTACTGCACTATCAAAAGGAGACCAAGCTTCTGAAATGCTGGCGAGGTTCTGCCCTCCTAACAGAGTCAAAAGATAGTCATTCCTTCGGGGAATCCTCCATGTGGAAGACCTTTCCTATAAATATGTTGTAGAATTGTATGCACAGATCCTTGTAGCACTTGAAGGAAAAGAGTAACTCCAAGGGCTGGAAGTTCTATTTGAAACTCTGTCCATTTGATTTATAGCAACATCTGGGATGTGAAAATATTTCGGAAGTAAAAGTGAGAGAAGGAGAGAGTTTGCGGAATATCCTGTTTTGAACCCAAGAGATACTGTCCTCAGACAGTTTATTAAAGTCACAGATTAATAGATGGGCTTCTGCAAGGAGTGTTTATGTTAGGACATATGGACCACAAGAGAGCTAAATCCATAACCATCTATACTGGTTAAGTCTCTCTGTAACAATACTCTTTCACCAGAACAAAAACATTTCCAAACCTATTGTTGATCTTATTATAATGAAAGTCACACTACGAATCATTTAGTACATTAAGTACTTTTTCCCAGGTTTTTTCCATGCCATTCACTAACAACAAAATAGCCTTTAGCAGATTTATATAAATAATAAATAGGTAATACAATATTAATGTATAAAATACTCCTAATATACATGATAACCATGAGCTTACAGTTTAATGAAGATTTTTGCATTTTTTTGGTTAATTCATAGAAAAAAAGAATACTCTTCACTTACAAAAGTAAAACATTTTAGAAATAGTACAGTATTTATTTTTTCATTTCACAGGTCTAGGTTTATAATCTGCATAATTTTCTATACCAAGATAATCACCACAAAATTAAAAGATCAACAGGGCAATCCTTCATTCCTTGTTATTTTGCCTTTTGCTTGCTTGTTCTCAAACTTTTCTAGTAGAGTGAGTCCTCTAAATTTGTAAGACCCGTAGAGGTTACATGTTAATAAACACCACAGTAGCCGACTGCCACTTTCCATTCCTTTGGCAAACACGCTGACTGACAGTCACACTGTGCTACAGGTCAGCAGCTAGGGAGTTCTCTAGTACTCTGGCATGGTTTTGCTCACACCAGGTGTGCTAGATGCTGAGCAAAACTCAATTTCTTTGCTCTAAAACCCAATGTGACAGTCAAATATTATAGAAACCACTGAAACACACGTGTGAAAAGAGAATTGCTGTTTCTATAAAAACTAAGTTGAATGCTTTGGAAAGACACATGAAAGATGGCTGCTAAAAAAATTTACTGTCAGTATAGGTGAATTAATTCTAAAACACTGCAGAGTTGGGTGGGGGGGGTAGGGAGAAGTACTAAAAAAAAAAATCTAGAGAATTGTGCACTCAGGTTGCTTTGTTCTTTTCTAAAAAAACCCATACTAGAAATTGTAGCTGATACATTATGGGTGCTGTTTATCACAAGAAAGACCATATAGAATTCCTCTCAACAGACCAACACTCAAAATAAAACAGGAGACTTGGGATACATCAAAAGACTGGCAAGTAAATGTCCATTTATATATTTTAAGTTAAAATGTTTAAGGCATATAATACCAGTTTTTAATGATTAAGTGGTTTTGATCAAGGTGGATAAGTGGGTTTCCAATATGGTGCACAGAAAACAAAAAAGCTATCCAATGGAGCTGTGTATAAAAGAGATAGATACAGAGGTCTGATAAAACCTCCCATGGCTTCTGTTCTCTGAAAATATCCAGGGGTAAAACAGATCAGAATTCATACTCAGAATGAATGTGATCTTCCAACTGACCCTCTCAGAAGTAAAGTCACAATGGATCCCAGAGTTCATATCATATCTGAGCCTTTATACAACTTCATGTTCTTGGACTATATTTACTGCTACAGAAGAAACGGGGTTCCAGTAATAGACATGAAGGCAAACGGAGACCACAGGACAGCCAGAAGATTCCCTTAACAGCCCTCTCCCCCGTCTTGCAGTATCAAGAGCCTAAACTCATCCTATCCCTGCCCCAGAAAATTGCTCCTGTGAGCATGGGAGAAGAGTCTTACCTTCTGACGCTGCTGAATGTTGGCTACAGTGTCAGGCTGGAAGTCCAGCTTGTCGGTGCGGCAGAGTTTCCAGTAGAGGATGACAACAATCACCATCACCACCAGCACCGGGATGACCACGCCAACAATGACCCACAGGTTGTTGCTCTGGGACTCCGGGGACGGCCTCTTCACCCTGTCCACAGCTGCAAATGAGGAAGAAAGCTCTTTAAATAGTTCCTTTGTATTTCATTTACTAGACTAAATATGTCTTCTTCTATGAGAAACTCATAAAGTCCTTGACATTTCAGCTCAAGACAACTGGTTATAGATTATAATCTCCTGATGACAGGAAACGTGACCGAGCAAACAAACAAAACACAGAATATCACATGTGGAATACATTAGGGATCATAATGACAGGCACAATGTGTCTGCAGGCACACGGCTAATTTAACGGCAAAGCTTGGTTAATTTCAAGTCTTCTGACTTCCAGTTTATTCTACTAGCTCACCCCTAAATTCTCACTGAACAATGTTTCCATATCAAAAATGGTTCTGTACAACTTTTTTCAAAAGTGGTTCTCTTCAAAAGTGAAGAGAAAAGCAGCTACATCTCCAGAACTCAGTCATGACCACGTGTTAAGTACAGCAGTGAGTACAGGACTCGCCCTCCCAGACGTCATGAAAGCACAAGTCTGAGCTAGGAGACCTGCAGAAGGGAGCCCTTCCCCCTTCCTCCTTCCCTCACTACTCAAGTCTCCTTCTTCACAAATGGTGAAGTGTGCCGGACACAGTTCTCAAGTCGGGACACAACAGTGAACAAGCAGACAAAGTCCCTCTGGGAAGGAGAGGGAAAACTATCAAGTGCATGAATCACTAAATAGTTTTATATAGTACTCGTGCTATATAGAAGCAAAGAGCCACGAGACAGAGCATGTGCACACATGCAATCGGTTATTTCCACATCAGCGATTTCGAGATGATGAAGATGGCAATGTCCACAGCAGCATTATTCACAAAGGGCAAACGATGGAATCACCTCCATGTCCATCAATAGAAGAACAGATAAACAAAAGGTGGTATGTACGTACAACTGAATATGACTCAGCTTTCAAAAAGGAAGGAAATCCGGACGCACGCAGCATCACGGATGAACTGTGAAGACATTATGCTAAGTGAAAGAAGCCAGTCACAAAAGGACAAATATTGTATGATTCCACTTACATGAGGTACCTAGAACAAGCAAATTCATAGCAACAGAAAGAACGGTGGTTACCATGGGCTGGGGGGAGGAGGAATGTGGACTTATCATTCGGTGGGTACAAAGTTTCTGTTTGGGATGATGAAAAAGTTCTGAAAATGGAAAGTGGTCATGGTTGCACAACACTGTGAATATCTTTAATGCCACTGAATTATACACTTAAAAATAGTTAAAATGGTAAATTTTATGGTATGTATATTTCACAATTTAAAAAAATTATAAAAATGATTCTTAAGTTTTTCTAAATGAAGCTCCACTGTGCTAACTTGACATGTGAAGTCCTAAGAAGTGGTCTACGGGCATCGCCTCCATTTCCCCACCTGTGTCCCTCCCTAAGCCCTGGAAAGACGGCTTTGAATCAAAACTCCTTTATCTAAAGCAATTTAAACAAAGCAATTATTAAATTACATTTTTAAATTGCAACTACATTAATTTTTATTATATTTTTAATAAATGCAATAAACGCCCATCCTTCATAAGCTCCTTGCCCTCCCGTGCTCCCCGTGCTGGGCCTCACCCCTTCACTCTGTGCTCATCCTCTACAGGACTCAGCTCCTCTCAACATTCAATTGCTTCTCCCACAAAGGTTCCAGCCACGAAGCTCCCTAACCCCAAATGCCCCTCTCTCCTCTCTGCCCAACCTTCTCATCCCTTAGGCCATTTCATACAAACCTCCCCCAAGACAACATTAATTTCTCCTCGTCTAAGTTCTTTTGTTCTTGTTTTGTTTTGCAAATGGTGCCTTACTATTCTTTTTAAATGCCTTTTATTACATAAATGTATCATCTTGATATACTGCCCTACTTTGCTCATTAGTCTGGTCATGACACCAAGTCTCGTCTTTGCAAATACATCTTCTTCATCACGGGTGGGGGCTAAGGCTTAGGCTCTCTTCATATCCTGTAATGGTTAATACCTCCTGTGGAATCAGGCTGTACCTGCTCAAGACGTCATAACACAAATGATTCTCAGGGTTGGTTTAAGTGTGGTTTGAAACCCCTGAGAAATTGTCGAGGGAGGGAGGAAGCATTCGAAATCAAATGCTCTATAAAGAGAGCACACATGAGAGCAGACTCCTTAGTTCTAACCTGGTAAAACAGGTTAGGCAGACACTGATCAAACCTGGGCCCTGCTGTTGGCTGAGGCTTCCTTCTGCCACCAACCCTGAAACTCCAGGATTGTCACCCATATGGTTTCAGTCCAAAACTGAGGAAAGAGCGGTGCAAAACCAGATGAAAGTAGCTTTGAACGGTGCCCATATCCTATGGCAAATTACCTTTTTTAAAACGTCAAGTGCATAGCTGGAGTGGGGCACCTCTCTCCCACTGTCAGAAATGTCATACATGATGAAATGTAAGGAAGTGTTCCTGTTATGTTTTTCTCACTGCTTTGAAACAGAACACACTAATGTGCAATCATATCTCAAACACACAGACACAAACTGCCAACGGTTATTTGCTTAAACTCCCGTCCTTTTCCGTAAAAGGGAGAACGTGTGCCCATCAGCCCTGTCCTGGTTCGTCTCCAGGGACAAGTATAGATTTCACAAAGAACCTTCTGCTACTGACAATAATTGCAAAGCTGTGGTTTTTAAAAACTGCCTTTGTCTCCTACATGTTCTCTCTAAGGGATTTTTCAATATTCTCAGATGCTGAATTCCTTCTCACCATTTACTTCTCCCTTTATTGTTGGGAGCAAGTTTCCCCTCATTCTTACTGCTCTCTGGATCATAAAGGGAAAAACATCCATATTAAAACAGCAGTCTGATGTGTAAAGGTTTATTTAAAGAAATACACTCTTCCATGCCTCACCTTTTCCTTGACTTTAAACACTCAGAATCTGTGAGTTGGAAAAGAGGGCACAGACAGCAGCCACTGCCAGGGGGCAGGAGCCAAGTACCTTCCAACAATAACAAAGAAATAGCAAAACACCTTCTAAACTGTGCAGTGGGTGAGGATAGGGTGGGACAGAAACAGGACTGAAAAGCTTCTCCCTTTATTGTTGGGAGCAAGTTTCACCTCATTCTTACTGCTCTCTGGATCATAAAGGGAAAAACATCCATATTAGAACAGCAGTCTGATGTGTAAAGGTTTATTTAAAGAAATACACTCTTCCATGCCTCACCTTTTCCTTGACTTTAAACACTCAAAATCTGTGAGTTGGAAAAGAGGGCACAGACAGCAGCCACAGCCAGGGGGCAGGAGCCAAGTACCTTCCAACAATAACAAAGAAATAGAAAAACACCTTCTAAACTGTGCAGTGGGTGAGGATAGGGTGGGACAGAAACAGGACTGAAAAGAGTCAGGATCAAGGACTTCTTTGTGTTGAGGCCCAGAAGGAAGCCAATAAATCCAGAGTGCACCTCCAAGCTTCCTGTGTGACTCACTGTCCCCACCAACACTCAAAATACGACACAGGAGATTTTGGAATAAATACAGAGCAAACACATTATTTTACCTAAAACAAAACTTCTAAAAAGAGAAAGAGTACAGGAGTAGAGGAAAAATATTAAAGTTGGTGCAAGTTGCCATAATTCACGATAACACCACGAATACAAAATGCTAGGCAGGAAAAACAGCAATGAAGGCTATAGTGACAGGCAATTGAAATCCGTAATCAAAAAAAGTCACAATATAAGTGCCACTTCATAATAAGGGTTTCAGAAATAAATCTTCTACGCACACATCAGGATGCTTTCAACTCAGAGCTCCCTGTCAGAACGAGACTGGCTTTGGACCCCAGCACAGCACAGGTGACCACCCTCACGGACTTACGCTGGGCAGACCCCAGCACAGCACAGGTGACCACCCTCACGGACTTACGCTGGGCAATGGCGCCTTGAATTCGGTAACCCAGGATAATGGCTGCTCTCTGGAGATCTATCTTGTTAATCAGGTCTGAAGACCTGACCGCGCTGAGTCTTTCTCCATCTTGATCCTCCACAAAGTAGATGAGCTGCACAGGATTGTCATCTCCCTCCAGCCTCGACACATTTACCACCTGAAAGGTAACAGAAACTGAGCATTTTAGAAGCTCGTATTTCCAGATGCCCTTTCTCAGGTCACTTAGTCCTGACTGCATCACTCAGGATTTATTCCAATCTTCATAATAAGCTCCTTCTACCATTCAGGGTCCCAGAATCACCATGGTTCTTTCTCTTGATGAGAAGAGGGACCGTAAAAATGAAGGTACCTCTGGGCAGAATAACAAATGTGCTTCTTCTTGCTCAACATCTTCGCTGAGACAAGGGGCAGGTGAGATACACAGAACACAGGGTGGGCAAGCCCAGCAGTCTCGAATCGCTGCCAACCAGCTGCAGTGTGGCCCCCGTGTCATGGGAGGGCACTGCTGAACTCCCAACGTCAACTAGCAGGGTGAGGTACATCCCTGGTTCTCCGACAGGACTCACGGTTCTACCCAATCCCTTCCTGAGTCTATTACCATTTCCTCCCTGTTTGCTGGGGCAGGGTTTCTCAACCTTGGTTCTATGGACAGTTTGGGCCAGAAAGTTCTTTGACCTGGGGAGCATTACAGGATGGTTAGTAGCATCCCTGTCCTCCACCCTCCCAGTGCCCAATATGACAACCAAAAATGTCTCCAGACATCCCATTGTGGAGACGTGGAGGCAAAATCACCCCGACCCCACCACCATTAAGAACCACCGGTCTAGGGATAAAAACCTCATAAATTCATAATCTTGTGGGTCAAATATTACTTTGATTTATCCCAAAACTTCTCTCTCTCTGGTGTTAAAGGGCAGTCTCATACTGTTAGTAGTTCAGAATCCAGTACATCTGACATATGTACTGCTGCATAATGTGCTGCATAAATACAGCTTTTTATTTTGTTGCTATTTCTCTTAATATGCAACCATTTTATTATTGCTTTAGACTCCAGCAAAACACTGGACTAATGTGCTGAGAAAAGAATCAACAATGACTCTGAAGCTTTTATTTTACGCATGCAATTTGAATTTTTGGTCTCTACATTTGCAGTTCGCAAAATGCAGCTGCTACTTCTGCATCCACATGTGTGGATTTGTAACACCCCCCATGCTCTGGACTTGGCTGCTAGACTCCTCCTTCACCATAGGAAACCTCTGGCTAATCGACAATTTCATGATTTCACTGTGAACTCCTTCTTCCAGATCACGTCTAAAGATCCTTAAGAACACAGGTCCAAACTCTCGCCCCTTGAGAATCTGTTCTCTTTTTTTGCTTGCTGTTTTGAGGGCAGTTTCCTGAGCGCTTCTGCTCGCCAACCACCTACTCCCTCCCCAACAACTGTGCTGCACTGATGAATTTTTTCTTAGCCATTAGAACAGAATACTATCAAAGGGCTACTGAAAAGTAAATTATATCCACCTGTCTCTCTAACCTATATGCCTATTTATCCCATTCAAAAGTTCTAATAAATTTTAAAATGTTTTCTTCGTGTAGAAATCACAATCCCACATATCCAGTGATACCCACCCTCGATTACAAGATTCTACAAGCTTGTCCAGCCTGAAAGTACTAGTCAGTACATCTAATGCCAGCATCCTTTCTATGTGCCTGCTCAGATTCATATCTGGAACCCATATAAACATGGTATCACGGAGTCATCGCTTTGGGTAACATTCCCAATTTTGTTTAAACATTTTTCATTACAGAAATTATAGAACTCGTAGAAATTTTGAAAAACACATGTAAAAAAGTATATAGAATAAAAGGAAAATCACCTGAAATTCAACCAAAGAAAATCACTGTAAACATCTTGGCATATTTCCTTCCACTCTTTTTTTCCCCTATGAATTTTATAATAATATTTGGACTATACTGCATACATCCTTTTGTATCCTCCCTTCCCTTAAGCATCTTTCTATATCACTCATTAATTCAAAAAAAAAAAGGGTACATTAATATTCCAACATATAAAGATTTACTACTCAACCATTCTCCAATTGCTGCACATTTAGGCTGTTTCAACATTTGCACTCTACAAACTAGGTTTTGATGAAGAGCCCTGTACACCTGTACACAAATCCTTGTCTACATCTTCATGTTGGGTTACTCAAAGAGGAAAGAGAAGAACAGAGTTTGTAAGCAATCTAGTCCAGGTAGCTTGGTTAACTTTCACAAACACGATATTCCTACCTTAGGGAGCTTGCATATCTAATTTAGCACCTTATTACACAGTTTTATGGTGCTCTGTAACTGTTTTATGTGCATAAATTAACCCACACCCAGATCTTGAACTCTATGAAGCCACAGGCTGTTGAATAAGGCAAACCTTTTATAATTCATTTTCATTTTTATTCTTTGTTTTATACCTATTTAATGGTTATTCTCAATTTTAATTAGTTTTAAATTTTCTCTATATTTACTGCATCTGGCAAAGGAACTATTTTAGAAACCTAAGAACCACATTTCTAGGAGGGGGAAACAAAGAGCAAAGTTGAGAGGGAAAAACTTGGTAAAAGGATTGGAGGATGATGATGCCAATTCTAGGCAAAACTGCCACCCTCCCCTTACCCAATGTCATTGTCACATCTTTTTCTCTAATGCCTCTAAACCACCCACATTCCCACCCCTGCCCATAAACCCCACACCCTGAACCTCAGAGTTTCACCCTGGTTTCCTGTTTCTGAAATGCCATAGCTTGAAATATCCCATTTTCCTAGATCTACAAGTCAGCGGTTAGTAAAGAAAAAAACTCCACATAATTCATATGCGAAATATCCCATATTCCTAGATCTACAAGTCAGCGGTTAGTAAAGAAAAAAACTCCACATAATTCATATGGAGAATGAAATAAATGACACCCCAACCATCAACTTTCTGTGAGTGCAGTCGGTTCTCCACATCCACGGGTTCCACATCTGTGGATTCAACCAATCTGAAATATCCCATTTTCCTAGATCTACAAGTCAGCGGTTAGTAAAGAAAAAAACTCCACATAATTCATATGGAGAATGAAATAAATGACACCCCAACCATCAATTTTCTGTGAGTGCAGTCGGTTCTCCACATCCACGGGTTCCACATCTGTGGATTCAACCAATCATGGATCGAAAATATTTGAAAAAAAATTGCACCTGTTCTGAACATGTGCAGACTTTTTTCCCTCTTGTCATTATTCTCTAAACAATACAGTATCACAACCATTTACATAGCACTTACACTGTATTCAGTATTATAAGTAACCTGGAGATGAAGTAAAGTATACGGGAGGATGTGCGTAGGTCATATGCAAATGCCACACCATTTTATATCACAGACTTGAGCATCTGCAGATCTTGGAATCTGTGGGGATCCTAGAACCAATGCCCAATAGATACAGAGGGACAACTGTATGTGCATTTTAAAATGGGTCCCTTTTCAATTCAAACATATCTGTTCAGTGTAACCTGTCTGCCAGTTTACCGAAGTAGAGATTTTGAGTAATATGAGACAACTGGGCTGGTTGGAGGCAGATGAAATGCCAGAATACAGGACAGACAACTTTCCTCTTTTTGAAGGCCTCTTCCAGAAGGATTTATCTCTATGATGCTATCAATAATACTTCCCATTTCTTAAAATAGGCTACATTTTTGGTAATTACAAAGCTACCTTATGAAAAATAAGATCGTGTAAGAGTATGGCAACCCAGTAACACAATTCTTCTGCCATGCTCCCCAAGGTCTACTGTAATACCCAACCACTTACTAAGGACTCAGTACATGTGTCCAGACTCTAGCTGAACTGAAATGCAGCCACATCCCGCAGCTACCTAACACCGTAATCAGTAGAAATCAGAATTTTCTCGTGGCGCTTTCCATTTGCATGGAAACACAGCAGGTTTTTACATGTCTCTCTCTCCCTTCTCCCCTCCTCCTTTGACCTCCTGGAGTACCTGCACCACGCTGTTCCCGGCAGTGACAGTGGCCCTTCTCCACATGCGCCTTCTGGAGGAAACCTCACTCAGCAGCTGGGCCAGTTTGCGCTCCATCTCAGCCTGGAACACCTCATTCTGGAGCTGCTTCTCCACCACGCCCAGGAGGACTGCGTGTTGAAAGGAAACACATGCAGCACCCAACACAAGTCAGTGGTGGAGAGGAAAAGTGTGTGTGTGTGTGTGTGTGTGTGTGTGTACATGTGCATGAGAAAATAATACAGGATTACTATAAAATAACAATTTCTAGAGAGGGGACATTAAAGGTAGAAAAGGTGACAGTGAGAGCCCAAGAAGTGGAGCTCATAAGTCTTATCTACAGCTCCAAGCAGACTGGTGGCCTGAAGTCCCCTGAACTCAGCACTGCAGGAGCTTGGGAGCAAAGAGCCCCTACAGAAGATCAAGCATTTTGTCTGTACTCATCTCCAAACTTCTTGAAAGAGTGTGAGTTCATATCTCATCTTAAGACAGACTCACAAACTAACTTGAGGAAAGGGTGCCCGCCTGTCTTCAGTTACCTGCCATAAGATCAAGATCATCTAAGCAGATAATTGGCTTATCAGCACAGTCGAGGGGGAAACAGCAAGTGCTTTTTGGTCAGAACTGGTTCCAATCCACTTCAAGACACAAGCACGGGCAAGTCACCTAATCGCTATGAAAATTACCTGGAAAATGGGGCCAGAGCACCATGCAAAGAGGTGGGGCCTTTACAAAGGAGACTGTATGTTGAGCAAGGAGAACTCACCGGGTACGGGAACCCCGTAAATGGTGACTTCTGCTACTCTACATGCGCTCTCCCCAAAA